CTATAGTAGTGTTCTGCCTGTCATTCCTGATATTGATCATTTGTGTTGTCTCCCATTTTTTGTTAGCTGAGCTAGTGATTCTCCAACTTTTAAAACCTTTTCAAAGAAGGTGTGACCTTTAGAGGCTGGCTTCTTTCTGCACAAGCCCTTTAAATTTTACTTCAGTTATTTTCTCTATTTTTTCAGTTTTTAATTTTATTGATTTTTGCCATCTTTATTGCGTGTTCTCCATTTGGGTTTAATTTTCTCTTTTAAAAACAGCATTTTTGGGGCAGAGTTAAAGTTTTTGATTTGAATCCTTTTTCTTTTGTAATGAAAGCATTTAATCCTATACATTTTTGGGCAGCACTGCTTTAGCAACATCTCACAAGTGTTTCTATGTATTTTTAAAATTTAAACTCCAAATACTTTAAAGTTTTTCTTGAAACTTCCTCTTTCCTCCAACAGTTATTTAGAAATGTGTTGTTTAATTTCCAAGTTAAAGATTTTTAAAATTGTCTGTTATTTATTTTTAATTTAATTCTGAGTGGTGAGAAAACATACTTTACATGATTTTATTTATATGAGAGCTTTCACAGTTTGTTTTGGGATGCAATGTATAGGCTCTTTTGACAAATGTCCCATGGGAACTACTTGAAAAGACTGTCCATTCTGCAGTTGTTGTGTGGTGCATTCTATAAATGTCAATTACATCAGTTGGTTGATGGAGCTGTTCAGTTCAATATATTTGATGATTTTCTGTTTGTTATTACCATCAATTATGGTAAAAGAGCATCAAGGTCTTTGGCTATCAGTGGGGATTTGGACTTTTATCCTTTCAGTCATATCTGTTTTTATGCATTTTTGTCACTGTCATGTGAAGTGTGTACACATTTTGGAGGTTACATCTCCTTTCATCATTGTGCAATATAGCTTGTTTATTTCTGCTAATCTCCCTCATTCTGAAACCTCTTTCTCAAAAATTAATAGAACCATGACAACTATTTTTGATGAGTGTTAGCACGCTATAACATTTTTTAACCCTTTAGTCTATTTGTGTCATATTTAATGATGGCATATAACTTGGTCTTTATTTTTCCATTATAATATATATAAGTTATTTAATGTAATAATTCATCTGTTCAAATTGTCTTACTTTTTTTGGTTTTCTCTTTTCCCTCTCTCTTTTGTTCCCTTGTTTTTCTTTTCCTGATCTTTTGTGGATCATCCAAGTGTATTCTAGTTTTCCATTTGAATTTGTCTATTGAATTTTTGGCTCTCTTTGCCTAGTGTTCATAGTGTTTACAATAGGGATTCCAATAGCAGTCTATGTAGAGTTAGTATTTACTCCTTCAAGTGGATTAGAAGAAGCTTCTCTCTACATGGGCCCTGACTCACCCTTGTGTGTGCTATGCTATCTTCTGTATGGCATTTAGTACACTTGTACTTCAACTATCATGTGTATATTTAATGACTTAAGAGGAAAAAAATAGTGTATACATGTATCTAAATATTCACCATTTCTGTTGCTCTTTCTTCACTCTTGAAGTACCAAGCTTCTTTTTATAATTATTTCCCTATCATCTAAAGAACTTTTGAAAATACTGTTTTCAGAATGAGTCTGATGGCAAGAAAATCTCCTTGTCTGTTTTCATCTGGGAATGTTCTTTTTTTTTTTAATCTTGCCTTCATTATGGCTGCGTACATGTTATGGTTTAAATATGTCATGTCCCCCGAACACTCATGTGTTGAGGGTTTGACTCCCAATGCAGCAGCATTTAGAGGTGGGGCCTGGAAAGATAACTGCACCAACAAGGCTCTAATTTCATCAGTGGGTTAATCCACTAATTAGTTGTTCATGGCTCAATGTGCTATTAGGAGGTGGGGCTCAATTGAAGGTAGTAAGTCACTGAGGTGTGCCTTGGAAGGGTGTATCTTGTTCCCAGGCCCTTGCTCCCTCTCTGGCTTTCTCCCTTTCTCTCTGCTTCCTGGCTGCCATGAGGTGAGCAACTTTCCTCCATCACATTCTTCCACCATGATGTTCTGCCTTGCTCTATGCCTAAAAGCAAAGGGGCCGGGTTACCATTGACTTCATTGGGTCCCTCTGAACATGTAAGCCAAAATAAGCCTTCCTCTAAGTTGTTTTTCCCAGGTATTTTGTCACAATGATACAAAGCTGACTGACATAGTATGGAATTAATTCTGTGTGTTTCCTTAGAGCACTTTAAAAATCTTGTTCTCTTACCTGTGCTTTCTCATGAGAAAATCTACAGTCATTCAAACTCCTGTTCCCCTGTCTGCAGTGTGTTGTGTTTCTCTGATTGCATTCAAAATTTCCTCTTGTTTCTGAGTTTATCAGTTTACCAATGATATGGCTGGCTGGAATTTCTTTGTTTATTTGTTTGGATTCTGCCAAGCTTCTTGCATCTTTAAGGTTACGTATTTCATTGAATTTGATGACAGAATGTATAAAAATTTACCAATTATACTTTTCTTCTTCTTCTTCTTTTTTTTTTGGTACCAGGGATCGAACGTGGGTCCTTCTACTTGCACAGCAAGTATACTTTTCTTTTGTATCTCTCCTTTCTCTTTTTTGTGACCCCAGTAACCAGAGAGTTAGATGTGTTGATATTGTGACAAATGGCCTTGAGACTCTGCATTTTTAAAAATCTTTTTCCTCCTTGTTGTGTAGTTTGAGCGATATCTAGTGATCTGTTTTCAAGTTTATGGATTTTTCTTTTTCATTTCATTCTTCTATTGTTCTAATTCAGTGAGATTTAAAAAAAAAACAGCCACTGTATTCTTTAGTCCTTAAATTTACAGTTGATTTTTCTCATTGAGTCTGTTTCTTGACTTAGTTTTTGTCTCTCCATTTATTTCAAAAGGGCTCATTCTTACCTCATGGGGTCTGGTTAATAATAACTGCTTTAAAGGTTTTATCAGAAAGTTCCAATGTCAGTTTTATCTCAGCACTGGCATCTGTAGACAGTTTTTTTCTGTGTGAAATATTGATATTTACTGGTTCATTCTATGTTGAGAAATTTAGGTTGCATTATGGACATTTTGGTGTTCTCTGATTAACTCTGACTCTTGTTAGCTTTTTATGGAGAATATTGATTGTTTTGTTTCAGCAGACAACTGCCCCAGCTTGGTTTGGGTCCTAGGTTTCTCCCCATCTGCTGCAGTCCATAGTTACAGTGTGAGGACAATTTTCAAGGGCTTTGCAGGGTGATTTGAAGTATAAGTTGTGATCAAAAACTGTAATGAGTATTTAAATTTAAAATAGTCATTATAGTAAAAGACACATTGCCATTAATCCCTTTCAATATACTCCTCATTTTGAACATATTTATCCCATCATCCTTGCCACTTTCTAATGCAGGTATAGAAGTCCTCTTTCCTGAGTGTCTTTAGTTGTCTAGTTCTGGCTGCTTCAGTTTCCTGATTAAAAATGTTTGCCTTTCACAGTCATTTTGACTTTGGGGAAGAGCCAGAAGTCACATGGTGCCAGATCTGGTGAATAAGGTGGGTGAGGACACACCATCGTGTTTTTTTGAGTCTGCCTTTCTGTTGGATGGCACTTGGCAGTAGCATTTCCTGTATTTTTAATCATATCTCTTAAAGACACTCCTGAAAGAGGAGTTCCAGAACTGCTTCAGTGGCAAATAAACAATGGGATAAGTTTATTCAAGGAGAAGTGGAGTGTTTAGAGCGAGAGTCATGGCAATGTGTCTTTTACTGGAATAAAAATTTTAAATCACAAATGTACTGGATATGTTGATCACAGCTTGTACTCCCCACTCACCTTGTGCAGTAACCAGTCTTGGGAAATGCTTATCCCTGTTATGGTGAGATCTGCACACAGAGTCAGAACTGAGCACAGGGGTGAAGGTACTACTTAGTGGTTGCACTGTTCTCAGCCTCCTCTTCATCCTCTCACTGACACTTTTTGACTCCCTGGGGTCTCCTTTTTCCTTCTTTGTCTAAAAAGCTGGATGAGGATTTAATTTCTCTGCTCTTCCATTACACTGCATCTATCTCTGCTGCAAAAGCAGAGAGAGGAGAAAGTGAAGGCAATTTCACCTATGCTCTTGTGACACAGATCCCCTGCCTGGGGAGCAGGAACCTGCCTGGAAGCTGCCTATTTCTGCTGCTCCTATGGGTGTTACCATGGTGGGGTGGGAGAGAATGACCAAAGACATATCAGGGGTTTCCTTCTTGTCCCCTGGATGAGAAGTAGTGGGCTGTCTTGGAGCTCTCTTCTTCCACCTGCACCTGGTGCAGAATTCTGGGTTCCAGGCTCCCGGTGTGTCCACATCAGGGGATGCTGGAGGGGAAGGCCTGGGAAAGTCACTGCCAGTTCTATGGTTCTTCGAGTTTGTTGTCTTTGTCTGCAGCCATTTGTTTTCAGAGTCCTCAGAGCTGACCCAGAAGTTCCATCAGGTTTTTTTTCATTAGTCTCTGTTTACAGTACATGATGATTGTACTCACCATATGGAGTTGGCACATGTATATAACACAGGTTAATTCTTTCTTTATCCCCTTCCCTCCCCTTTCTCCCCTTTCCTTCATCACTCTGTCCCCTTCCCTTTTGCAAAAGATCTATCTCACTGTTTCCTATTATCTATATTTTAATGTGCTCTTTAATTTATTTTGTGCTCACCACCATGAAGGCATCCAGGAGTGCGTGTGTGTGAGACCTTGCTGATCTCCCTCACACCTGGACAGAAAGGAAGAGGCCAGGGACCTGACTTTCACTAATCTTCGACTCTGTGCTGGGTCCTATGCCTTAGAGTACTGAGGCCTTGCTCTGTGTCTCCAGAGGAAACTGAGGCATAGTCTCCTCCATTGTACAACTGGGGAAATTGGGCTCAGAAGGGTCAGCTCAGGGTCCTCCAGGTAATTATGTGGTGAACTGAGAATGCAGGTCATGAACTGTTCAGAAAGAAAGACTCAGAAGACGCTGTGACACCGAGGCAAGAGAGGTCCTTCCTGATCCCCTGCTCTCCCTCTCTCCACAGGCCAGATGAAGGGGATGCTGTGATCATGCACCCCAGGATTGTGTGCATCATGGTGAAGCTGTTGCCCCTGCTGTACCACGAAGACCACCCACAGGTACTGTATGGGCACACGTCTTCTGCCCGTGTCCCATGGCTGATCTTTCAAGCTCCTCTGGCAGAAGACTCTTTTTTTTTCTTTTTGCCTCCACTCTCAGGACTTGGGTTAGCAGAGCACCTTGGATGGTACCCCTTTCAGGGACTCTTGACTGATTTATGCCCACCCTTCCAAGGCCATTTAAAGTGGGTCACTTTTGTTGGTAAAGTGATCTTCTACAAGCAACAGGTGAGAAGTATGTGAATGAAAATGACTCAACACTTAGGAGTAGCCAAGTGCTATGCACAGATCTGGTGCTGGTAGCACCAGCAGGCCCTGGCCATGGATCCTGGCTGAGACTTGGCCTTGTGCTCAGGCGGGTGTGCAGGACTAACCAGAGGGACACAGACTGTCTTCAGAGGCTGCGTCTGTGGCTGGGACAGGGAGGTGGGGACACTGCAGGAGGTGACATAAATACGCACACAGATCAATGCACAATCACAGATAATAGTAAGGGGAAACAGTGATGAGAGAGGCTGATGGGATGGACGTGGGGAGGCTAATTTGACTGAAAGGGCAGAGGTCAAGGAAGCCTTTTATTTTTTTTGGTATGGGGGATTGAACTCCGGTCGTTGCGCTTGCGAGGCAGGCGGCGGCACCACTGAGCTAAATCCCCGGTTCAAGGAAGCCATTTTGATGGGGCAGGGCAGTGAGCCATGAGCAGCCATTAACCAGCTGGAAGGAGCTGCAGCAGGTAGGAGATGCCACCCAGGAGGGGCCCTTGTCCCCAGGGTAATGAGGTTCTCTGGAGTGAGGGAGGATGGCAGGCATAGGGTTTTCATGATAAACAGCGCTGTCTGATAGGGACTGTGGTGGGGTAGAAGTGGGTGGTGGTTGGGAAGCCGTATCTACAGTCAAGGCCATGCATGGTGGGCACTGGGTTTGGATGGTCTGCAGAAAGGGGTGGAGACAGAAGTCAGGGGACCTGCTCAGAGACAGAACTGACAGAATTGTGGTCCCCAAAGGGACGGGGGTACAGGGAATGGGGAGACAGAAGGACCAAGGAGAGGCAGGCTTCTGTGCTGACAGGAGGCTGCACACCCCAGCAGAGAGGCAGCGTGGCATGGAGGTGGGAACGGGGCCGGGGACAGTGTGGGGGAGTCGTGGTTGTGACAACAGAACAGATGGGATCTGAATGAGTCATCTCAACTTGAAGATCGCATCTCTTAGAAGCTCTGAGGGAGAGACTGGGACCAGTTGAGGGAGGTGTGGAAAATGCGCTTTTCACAGTGATCAGCAGCAAGGATAGGAAACCAATGAAAGGGGTGGCCACAAGGTACCTGGCCAAAGCTCGGTGCTGTTGCTCTGTGCTCAGTCCTCACAGCTGCTTGGTTGGGGATATTTTTGTCTCTGTCTTAACCAACGGAGAAACATAGGTTCCAATAACTTGGATGACTCTGAGGGTTCTGGTTGGGCTGATATTAAGTCTGGTCCCACCTGCTGGTTGTTCCCTGGGCTTGGCATCTCTAGCAGGCACAGAAGATTGAAAAAGAGGCTGTATGTTTTAGGGAGAAATGACAACTATTTAGCATTATTAATCACACCCTTAAGTGGAGCAGAGGTGAAGCCCAGATGGCGGTGACCAAAACTGTTCCCTCCGAGGACAATCTGTAGTATTTGGTACAGGAGTTAAAACAGGCCTAAGAGGGGCTGGAGATTTAGCTTAGTAGTTCCAGCACCTGCCTCACAAGCGCAATGTCCTGAGTTTGATCCCTGGAATCAAAGATAAATAAATAAAACAGTCCTAGGTTAGTTCTGTGGCCACGTGACTTGTAGTGACTTCCTGTTCTGCTTTCTGTTCCTCTGCTGGAGAGTGACGGCAAGGTTCATGACACCAGTGTATAGGGACATGCGTAGTGGCCATTTTCACTGGTGCCATGGAAGAGAAGCAGGTGGAATGGGATGGGATAAAAGTTAACAATGACCCCACCAGTGCAGTCATGGCTGCACAAGGACATGTCAGTCAGTGACAGACCCCTTTGTGACACTGACCCCAGATTATATTTCCTGGTGACATACTAGCCATCTTGGTTTTTTATAAGCACCCTCTATGATGATCACACAACAATGATATTGCCCAACAATGGATTTCCCAGCATGTGTCTGGTTGTTGAGCAGTCCGTGGCTGTGTTTCCCCGAGTCTGTTAATCAGAAGGGATGGGTTCAGCTCCATATGGTCCTGGCCAGGGTGGGCTGCCCACACAGGCTCCATCTCCCACAGAGCCAGAACCTCTGAGAGGCAGTTGCCATAGCTCAGCTGGATCGTGGATCTGGAGCCTGCTCGCACTGTCACAGGGCCCTGAATCTCCTCTCTGTGGCCCTCTCCATCTGGCCTGTCCCTGTGCCTCAAGAGGTTGCTCTTTGGGGACACAGCTGCTCAGGGCTCCCAGGGCACAGAGGCAGGAGCTTCTGGCATTCTGGAGCCAGGCTGGGGATAAGCCCATATTGCTTCTGAAGCATTCTGGTGATACCTAGGGCTCAGGAGAGTCATATAGCTATCTAAGGTTCTGCAGCAGGTAAAGGGAAGATCTGGTTGGTCTTCGCAGCTCTCCTGGAATGGAGGGGCACACATGCTGGGCATTGCACACTGCTCTAGTGCCTTTGCCTTAGCCCAAGGTTGTCCAACTGCCTGAGCTGGTGGTTCAGATGGTTTTGGCAGTGGAACTGCTGGATGAACTCTGCAAAAGTCCACTGGTAACCAACAAAGAGATATAGGACCAATGGACAGTGTTCCATCCTGCTGTCTCTTACATGCATGGAAACTCCTTGGAAGTCATTGTGTGGGAAAGGCCTTCTACACTTTGCTCATCCTACAGTAGTAACTGGACAAATCAAGAATGCAAATAAGAATGCTCTTGGGTGCAACACTTTTCTCCATTGAGGTTACAGTGATAATTTAGGAACAGTCTGGCTCTCCCTCCTTGTCTCTCAAATATGCAAATGAAATATAGTGGTGCATTTTTCTCAGATATTTTCTGCAGATGCCAAATCAGCAGCCATTAAAAGTTGGATAATTACAGTAATTAATTTCTAAAAGGGGTGGGGGAAAACCTCATAATAGCAAGTAGAACAATAAATCAAATGAGAAATGAGACCTCTGAAGAAATGCTGAAGCTAAGCGGACTGGGAGCCTGTGTGGTCTGGGTGCGGGAAGGGCACGGGACTCAGTAGGTGGCAGTGTTACTAAGAGGATGAGGGCGAGTGCCTTCCGCTCTGCTGGACACTCACTGCTCTCTTCACCCTCTCTCCATCACTCGAAGCTCTCCCTCCTTTCGGATGAGAAGCAATGGGCTTCCGGGGTACAATGTCATCTTAGAGGCCAAAACTTAAATGACCTTACGACTGTCCTGTTTTTGCTCATTTCGAACAGTGATTATGTTGTAGGAGCTCTGTACACAGGCAGGCAGTGTTTTTTGGGTTCTTTTTCCCCCCTCTCCAAAATGCCAGCACTGCAAGCTGCTCTCGGAAACAGACAATCCAGCTGTTTTTCTATATCTGGGACTCTCATCCTTATTAAAACCTGGAAGATAGAAATTGTACTCTGCAGGAGGCAAAAATGGAGTGTAGCTCAGTGGTCTTAGAGCAGAGTTGGCCCCAGCAAGGTCATAGTCACTGGGAAGCAGATGCTTTCCCTTCCCACATGCTTAGCAGCTGCAGGGTGACAACTGTGACTCAGAGGGCAGAGGCCCTATCCAGGTGGCACAGGTGAGGCTTGGCCTGTGCTGGAGCCATGAGCAACTGGAGTTGCTTTTGTGAATAACTGAAAGCCTTGCAGATGCCTCTGGGGAGTCAGAGCTCAGCTCACCTGCTGTCCTGACTGGGGCTGAGGGGAGCATTCAGAGGAAAGAGGGACAGAGGAAGACAGTGTCCTCATGCTTGTAGCAGAGTTGGCTCACAGGGCTTTAGGACATGGCAGAAGGAAGGGCAAGTCACAGAGAAGCTGGGGACAGTCTGTGAGTGAGTGAGGCTTTAAGGAAAAGATAGGTCCATCCAGATCAGATTGAGCAGGAGGGAGGAGAAGCCCACATGCAGACGTGTGGACCAAGATGCCTGTTTGGGGACTTTGCTCAGCGGGGCCTGACCCTGTGAGTGCAAAGGCAGTGAGTGGGGCTGGAAAGGGTACTGAGGCTACATTGAGAAAGGCCTTGAATGCCAAGCTAAGACAGCTGAGTTTTATTAGGTTACTATCGATCATCATCGTTGGCATCCTTGTGAACACGCTAAGGGCAGAGCAGATTCTGAAGACAGTCAGACCTCAGTCAGACCTCAGCCATGCCACTCAGCAGCCACTGAGCCCTGGGAAAGTCCTGCAGCCTTTTTCCTCTTCACTGGTGTGGGATAGGGGTGACAGCGTCCTTGTCCTATGTTGTCCTTGGGAGGGTTCTGTGAAGCTAGGATGGGCTCTGAGGATGATGAGCCTTGGGCACTCAGCTGGGGCACTTGCTAAACCCTCCATCTCCCTGATCAGTGGCTGGGTACTTCCTCAGCAATCATAGTTGCATCATTAGCAGACCCTGAGAGGTGGGTACCAGTGTTTCTGCTTTGCAGACATAGGCTGTGGACTTGCAGCCACTGATAGAGTTGATGCCATTGCTGAGTGGTGGATGTGTGTGCTGATGGAGGTCTGGACCCCTGAAACCCCAGGCCACCTTTCCTGAGACAGCAGTGACCAGGTCAGATCTGGGCATTGCAGAGTCCATGTGGGTCCGCAGTCTGCCCTCCAGTCACCACTGGGGCCTGGCATCCACCTGCAAAGAGGCCTTTGCCATGGAAACTCCTGTAGCCCAAGGCACAGGAAGGAGAGGTGGGAGATGCGCTGATGTCAACGCATCTGTGCCTAAATTTGGAAAATCCAGCCATTTTCCGGAATCTGCTATATTTCAAACACATTGAACTAATTATATGGGTTTCAAGTAACTAAATATCGATGACACTAATAGCCCGGGTGCATCACATAAGGG